AAACAAAATTTGCGATTTCCATGGTTGACGAGCCCAATAACCACATTGTCTTCACTCAGTGAATTGCATCGCAAGTGGAGGCATTGGTAGTCTTTAACACTTGGTTGTTAAGAAAGAAGAATGACTCGACCAGATAGATAAAGATGGATGGACTACGTGCAATCCCATACATAAAAATCTTTTGTAGAAATATGTATGATGTCTTCACTCAGTGAATTGCATCGCAAGTGGAGGCATTGGTAGTCTTTAACACTTGGTTGTTAAGAAAGAAGAATGACCTGACCAGATAGATAAAGATGGATGGCCTACATGCAATCCCATACATAAAAAATCTTTTGTAGAAATATGTATGATGTTGAAAGTGCCCTAGAGGCAATAATATTGTATTATTATATTTTCATATTCATGATTCAGAGTTTATATTCTGTGCTATAAATGTTATGATCCTGAAATATGCGATTCAGTGAAAAACTCATATGCACGTGTAGCACAATTTAGATACATTATAACCGAGCACTCTCCCAACCCTATCAGACCATCAATACTTTTGGCCGTCGGATCTGCGTTTGTGGGAGTTTATGGCCATCCGATTAAACTTTGGGCGCAACGCTTAACGCGACTAAACTGGGCAGCTGCTCTCGCAGCAAAATTGGAGGCATGTGGTTAATTGGACCCTTGCTCTCACGTGAAGCTCATTCAGACCTTGCGTGGAAACAACCGAACAAGTGAGCCCGTCTTTATTAGCTAAAAAACAAAAAACAAAAAGAGCGAGCCACCCGTCTCCCTTCGCTCGACCCCCCTCCTTCCCTTCGGTTCTGTCCCCCCATCTCTCTTGCAGCACCTCCCTACCCTACCTAGCCGCCTCAAGATCTATAGCGCCACATGGTCTCTCTCTCTCTCTGTGTGTGTGTGTCCAATCCTAACCACGGATCAGCACCGCGGCAGCCCGTGCGCCCTTTCATCTTGGTAGCGTATTCGATCCCACATCGTCGCCTCCGCTTGGGCGCTCCACTGCTCGCCTTCTCCATCTCCATCTCCCCGGCGGCCGGCGACGGTTATGACGAAGCAGAGGCTGCGGTAGGGCTCGCTCTTGGCAGCGTGGGCAGTGAACCGCTAGGTGCTTCGCCTACGCCCCATGACTGCTCCTTGCATTCCTCATCCAAGTGCTCTGCATGTTGGTTGGCTTTTGCCTCTTCGACCACCAGATTCGGGCAGCAAAGAGGCTGTAGAGTTTCATATGCTACATTCAGATCATTGCATTTATGTTCAAACCAATAAAGGGAATAATTATCTTGTGTCTAATTTAAAGGCAGTCTTGCCTCAACTGGTGGCTCTCTATTTTTCATCTTGCTTAGCATCTGGGTCAACATTTCATAATAAATCTTCTCATTTCTTATGCTACATTTAGATTATTGTATAGAGCTTGTCATGGGAAGAGAGGATGGTCTTAAGAGAGAAATGCTCAAATACCTCAATACTTTTAACAGCAAGGACACTTAGTCTTGAAGGGGTTGGTCCGGTATGTTGTCTTAGCCTTGATGTTTGATATTTCCCTACTTTGTCTTGTCTCTGCACGTTTACCTTATTTGCATTTTATGCATTAACTAGCAACTTGCATTTTTTTGCGCAGCTAAATAACATACGATGAATCGAAAGAAGCTCTAAAGAAGCATGGTGTGCAACATTTGAGACAACAATCAAAGAAAAATTATTGCTAAAGCAGATACAGTTCATGTGAGTGATCTCAGCATAAATTATATGCTGCATTATTACTGTCACGAAGGGAATATTGACATGATGTTGCAAGGTAGCGACAACCATCTAACTATGTTCCCATATTTCTTTGAAATTTACTTGTTAGTACTATATATTCTGCACCGTATCGAGTATTAATTAAATAGGAGTCCCTCCTTTGGATACTAAAGTAACGAAGTATTTGTATGTGTATTTGATATATCCACTTGCTACAAGTCCATAGTTGGGATAGAATACATGATATAACCTGACATGGATATGAAACTTCTTACTTATGTTTTTTATAAGGTTGGCAAATGCCCTCCAGTGTTGGATCCAATGATTTATTATGGGTACCTCGTAGCCAACACAAGGTCTCTAAAATGACAGCAAACGTTGCATGAGTATTTGAAATAGTGCAACCATGTTTGAGTCAAGAAGTTCAATATAGTTAGTTTGGCTAGACATGCACAAGGGCTTCGCTCCTACAACCATCTTTGTGGTATGGTTATAATGCTCACAGGAAATTTTTTCCTTCACGTGTCTGGTTTAGGTACTTCAAAACCTACAAGCTTATGATGTGCTGGTTTTAACCATGTAGAATAAGAAGTGATTGCGTACATATATATAGGAGAATGGGGTGTATGCTTTTGAAGTAAAGCAGATTCTTAGAGTGAACCATGATGATGTACTCTTTGCTGCAGGGTTATGCCGATTTACCCAAAAAGGGTTTCCTCCCGCTTTATATTATAAAGCCGACATTATCACAACATCCGGACACACCGATACAACGCACACCACCACCGCACACAACACACATACCCAAGATATGATACAAAGGTGTCGAGCACCGTCCCCCAATGCCACCGCCTACCAAGCTAACTAAAGATGACGAAGGATAACCGTTTGGAGAGGACGGAGATCTCCACAAAGAAACAAGGAGGGGGAGACGGTCATGACAGAGCAGGGACTCCAAGACAGTGCCTCCTAGAAGGGGACGCCCACGGATAGCCGCCACCGTCCGATCCGTAGATCAAGTTTTCACTTGGAGTCACATGCGAGGGGCAGGAGCACCGCCACGACACCTTCATGAAGGATACGATGACCACGGCCGCCGCCGCCGTCGGCCAGTAGAAGAAATGGGCAAGTGATGAACTCCGACGCTCACACCCCTCCGACATACCCACGCTCTGCCAACCAGCCGCAACCAAGCCCCCGCGAGGCCATGGTTGCCCGCCCACACCCGAGACGTAGGTTCCACCCACAAACGCCACATCTCCCGCCGCCAGGGCCGCTGCCCAACATCCAGACACCCCCAAGATCATCTAAAAGGATCGACTTTGGACCAAGGGGGCACCCTAGACCGACGAGCCGTAGAATGTATCCCACCTTGAAGATCGTCGGTGCTACAGCCGCCCGCCCGCAAGAGCGGAAAAGGGGAGGTGGGGGAGTGGACGCATCCAGACCGACACACCCTGTGCCGATGACGGGGTGTAAGTGCATCTAGTGCCTACCCTAGTTGGTTTTGGAGTATTGACAACAAACTTGGTTGAGGGACTAAAGTGTTTGTGAGAATTGCAGGATAACACAGGTAGTAGTTGTTGGGGAACGTAGTATTTCAAAAAATTTACCTACGATCACGCAAGATCTATCTATGTGATGCATAGCAACAAGAGGGGGAGTGCATCTTCATACCCTTGAAGATCGCAAAGCGGAAGCGTCTATCAACGCGGTTGATGTAGTCGTACACCTTCACGATCCATCCCGATCAAGTATCGAACGTACGTCACCTCCGCGTTCAGCACATGTTTAGCTCGATGACGTCCTCGCCTTCTTGATCCATCAAGAGGGGCGAAGTAGTAGATGAGTTCCGGCAGCACGACGGCGTGGTGACGGTGTTGGTGAAGAACAATCTCCGCAGGGCTTCGCCTAAGCACTACGAAAACTATGACGGAGGATAAACTAGAGGGGACGGGGTTTCCGGCACACGGCTTGGTGTTTCTTGATGTGTTTTTGGTGCTAGCCCTGCCCCTCTATTTATATATTGATCCCTGGGGTCGAAACTTGGAGTAAAAGCCTCCTCCAAGTCGGTTTTGCCCGAAAGGCAAGAGTTCTTCTCGGACTCCAGGGCTAGACGCCAGGGTTCCCGGCGTCTACCCCCTAGAAGCCAGGGTTCCTGGCGTCTAGCCTCTGGTGTCCGCCAAACTTCCTTTTGCACTTTCCAAAAGCTTCGTGGGCTTTCCCTTTTGGCCCAAATAAAGTGTTCTCGTATCCAAACATTTCAGGAAATATCCGTAACCCCTTCCGGTGAATTCCGGAACCCTTCTGGAGACC